CCATCGCAGGCGCGATGATGTTGCCTCTCGCCAACTTCAGCCGACGACTGGGCCAGAGATAGCCGGAGACCATCGCGAGCAGGAACACCGCCATCGGCAGCACATTCCGCACCCCCATGCGCCAGGCGGGCCCGCACCTGAGGGCCAACGGCCTTGCGCGGCGGCCCCGCCGGGGCGCCAGCCTGCGCCACCCCTGGAGGCCCCTCCACGCCCGAGGTGCCCTGGCTTTGCCCTGCCTCGAGAACTCCCCGAACCAGTACATGAGGCCTGCCCTCTCCTGACAGCCCTTGGCGTTCTCGGGGCCCTCGAAGGACAGATGGTTCACGTAGCCGACCATCGCCTCGCCCACCCCTGGGGCCGTGGTCAAGGCCCGCCTCCGAGCTGCCTCTTTCAGCGGCCCCATTCGCGCGCCTCTCGGCGGCTGGCTCGACCTGCTGATCGTCGGAGGTGCTGCCGCCGTCGACGCTGCCGGCCACGATCGGGTGCGACCAGTCCTGGGGGAGGGCTTGGAGGTCGCGCTCGTGCCTGGGCAGTTTGGGCGCTGGCGACAGCTCGGCCAAGCTCAGCCTGGCCCTCCAGTCCTGCGCCCGCCGGGCCGCGGTGAGTTTCGGCAGGAGCTGCGGCCCTTGGGGGGTCCTGCTGCCCGACTCTCGCACCACCAGCTGTCGGAGGGTCGGCGCGGCAGGCTCGGCCAATGCGGCCCTCGCCCGCAAACGCGGCCGCCGCGCTGGAGTCCCAGGCGGAGGCGGCGGGGCCCCCCGCAGCCGTCCTCGGCGCAGCATGCGAGGACGAAGGCCCGTCAAAGGGGTGGGCCTGCAAACAGGTTTGAGCCGAAACGGGATACGAAGAAGTCAGACCGCATCTTGAATACACAGGTTCAGAGCAAACACGGGCGTCAAGGGACCAGTCAAACTCCTCGGGCACTTGGGGCAGAACAGAGCTCTCTGAGGGGCACACTGCAACGGGCACTGCACAGAATTCTCGGACGGGTGGAAATGGAAGGGGGCGCGAACCTCAGGGGGACCTTCGACCAGGACTCCTCTGAAAAAAAAGTATCGGGAAGAAGTGCACCAAGAGACTCCTTAGCCCCTTTCTTATCAAAAACGCGAGACCCATAATCGGCGGGGTTCAACTCCGACGGAACCCACCTCACAGACACCTTCAGATTCCCTGCGAGACAGTAGGCTTGAAACCTGCGGACCTGGACGAGGAGAGCAAACTCTTTAGCACGACTCCTGTTAGAGGACAGTGCAATTGACATGTTGTCAAACAGAATCAGCTGACGGCAGGCGGCACCAAACACAAACTGGGCAATGCGTCGGACGCCCATCACCAGTGCTCGGGCCTCCTTAATAAGGATGCCCCCCTCGAACCGCCAGCGCTGCACCTGCTTGGTGCGCCAGCGGCTGCTCGCCAGGGCCGTGGCGGGCACCTCGGGGAAGGAGGGGTCCGCCTCCCACGCAGCGGCCTGCTCGTCGTCGTCGGTCGCGCCCTCGGCCAGCCGCCACTCGCCATCGGCGTCGCGCCAGAAGAAAGCGGGCGCGCTCCTGCACGCGGCCCACCTCGGCCACCAGCGAACGAGGCCACCGGGTGGTCGAGACAGCTCCTGCCTCCAAGCTGCTGTCGGTCGCCACCACCAGATCGTTACGCTGCAGCGTCCAATCGCTATCCAAGAAGATAAGGAGGCCTCGGGACGTCTCGAGCTCCTGGCGGGCCTCGTGCCACAGCACGCTAGGCTCGGCGTATGACTTCCGCATGAAGGCATAGACCGTGTGGAATACGCTCAACGTACCCCTGCTCAGCAATCCCGCAAACGTGCAGTGGCCCACCAGGACCTCGACCGCCCAGCCTGAGAGGCGGCGGCGTCGCAGGAGGCCGTTCAGGGCCTGTCGAATGAGCCAGAACCGCTTCTGCGTCACTCTCGTCCTCCAGAGGGCCCCCGAAACCTCGGTGCCCAGCGTCTCGACCTTTGTGCCCACGGAGCTGCCGTGGAGGAGGAGGCCGCGCTGGTCGAAGCCCTCAACCAGCTGCGCGATCGCATCGGTGACGATGGGCTGGTCGGTGGAGGCCACCCCCAGGTTGTCGACGTACGCGTAGTGCGAGACGTGGCCCTTGGGGACGCCGGGGCCGAAGATGGGGGGCCTGCCACGGTCAGAGAGGGGGCTCTCGCGCAGCTGCGGGCAGAGGGAACTCGCCTGGTACTCGTTGATCCGCTGGGCAGCCCGCGAGCCCCACGTGAAACCCATCGGAAAGACGGCCCAGCAGGGACTCACCATATCGTGCCTCTCCAGAGTCCTGCCTTCCCAGATCTCGCCTTCCACGCCCAGCAAATACGCGGGCACGACGGGTAGGCAGAAGTACTCGGAGGGCCATCCAGGAAGTCGCAACCTGTGGAAGCAGTCCTTCACGTCGGCCAGGCCCACATGCAGAGAGCAGCTGCCGAGGAGCCGCTCCGCCTCCTCGCTCCAGGGCCCCAGGCCATCCGGCAGGGCGATCTCGACTCGGCTGAGGCCCTCCGCGCTCAGGAGGCTGACGCCCGGCGGCGGCTCGAAGAGAAGGTTCGCGGGCCTGGCGTCAAGGATGAGCCTGAGCCGCTGACCTCCGTCCTCCTCAACAAAGAAAAGGCCGACCTGGCAACGCGGGCGCGTGGTCCAGCCGACCAAGCCGCGTCGGCGCAGGTCGCCGATGAACTGCCTGTAGGTCTTCGCGCTGCGCTTCAGCGCGGGGTCGAAGTACGGTGCCACGGTAGAAGAGGGACTGTCAGCGCGCAGCATGCGCTCGGGATGCCCCTTCGGGAATCTCTGGACCTCTGGAGGGGCCACGTCCTCAAACGGCGGGCAGCCCTCCACTGTCTCGGGTAACGAAACAAGGCCCTTTCTGAAAGGCGCGACACGGGCGAGGCATCCCGCCCCATCGTGCGGTGCATGCCCGCGCAGCAGCCGGCGGACGGCCGCGCGTTCACTGAGAGCATCAGGACCTGGGTACCGCCGCGAGGCTAACTCGCAGATCCGCTCCAAAACTTCTAGCTGCATCGGGTCGGGATCGAAGTAGGCCGGTCCTCCCTGACAGCCAGCAAGCCAGTTCAGAGCACCCGCCGCCTCGTTACCCGTTACCCATCTTGAACACCAGCCTCTCACGCCGCCGCAGGGCCCTGCTCCGAACGGAGTCGGCCACAGGCAGCTCAGGCAGGCGCCAGCGCGGCAGCGGAAACAGCTCCCTGGCACTGCGCGAGGCGGCAAGCCGACCCCGCGCCACCCCTGAGTCCCGGCCGGGGACGGGGTTCCCCCCGGCCGCAGGGGCCGTCATTGCCCCTTGGGGGGGGCGCCAGCCCCCCCCACGCCTCCCTTCACGTCCTTCGATGGCGGGCGCCCCTGCCGATCCCTGCCGCCGTCGTCGGTGGTGCCGTCGCCCTCGGTGCGCTGCAGGCCTTTGTCATGCGAGGGCTCCGCCTGGGCCTCCCGCTGCTCCCTGATCCTCCAGCGCACTGCAGCAAGGTCCGATCCGCGCTGCTATCCGAGGACGCAGCGCCAGGGTACAGGCGGGAGCCGTCCCACACAGGCTCGGCTGGGTCGAAGTACACCTCCACCAGCTCCGCGATCCTCCTGGCCGCCGTCTCCAGGCACATCGAGTCGCCTAGATCCATCTGGGTGTAGACCGCGGCCCAGAGGGGGATGTCGCAGAGAACGCGCATCTCATGCGTCACTCTGTCACTGTCGCCGACGCCTCTGGGCCTCAGGAAGTCCCTCCGCCAGGACCTGGGGTCGCTGTTCGTGCGCTCCATGTTCCTGCATACCGTCAAGGCCGATACAAGCCCCTCGCTGGGCTGGTCGGGGAAGCCTCATGCGAACTCTCTCGGCGGGCGGTCCTGATGGGCTCGCGAATCTCCCCCTGCGCGTCGTACTCGACCTCCAGCGCTGATCGCCTCGCCCCGCCGAAGAAGTCCGCCCACTCCACCCGCCTGCCGCCCGGGCCCGCTTCCTCAGCAGGCGGCCCGGGCGAGAGGCCCGGCAGACGCTCCTCCACCAGCACGCGGCTGTGCACGATCGCCGCCTTGAGCTCCTCCTCCGAGAGGGCCGCCCGACAGTGGCGGGACGACCGCGGCCAGCCCTCGGGCGCGCCTCCTCCTGCTGGCATCTGGGCCGCGCCCACGGGCCACGCCTGCGGGCTCACGCCTGTGTAGTCCTCCTCGTACTCGGCGGCGCCAGTCGACAACGCGGCCCAGGCGCCTGGCGGCCAGCTCGGGCGGAGGAGCACACGCTCATGCTTCACCTGATCGTCACTGCATCCTACGCTGAGCCGCTGGCCCGGCAGAAGCTCCGTCCACCCCTCCAGCCCCACGTCTCGCGGGGGTAGCGCCATCACGCTCCCCGATCGAGGCCTCCGCAGCCTGGGGCATTCGGCCACAGCAGCCTCGCAAGGCGCGGCACGCCTCCAGCAGCGCGCCACCAGCACGCCAGGAACCGCCACCGCGAGGGCGCCGAGCGAATCCGCCTCAGGCTCCGCCTGAGCCTGGGTCAGCTCGAGGGCCGGGCAGACGGCGGGAGACGCCACGCGAGGCGGCGCCTCGGGACCAGGAGGACGGGCGTCTCCGCTGTTCCCAGTCGGCCGCCCCGCGGGCGGGCGCACAACCTCCAGCACGCGGGGCGGCAGCCCAGCCGATGGGCGCGGTTCCGTGGGCGAGAAAAGCGAGGAGATGTGGGAGAGCCACAGCGCGAGGACAGCCCAGTGGCCCGCTGGGGCCTGGGCCATCTCGAACCGAAGAAAGGCTATGGAGTCCAGGGGTCCCCCATTTAAATTGGTTCGTTTCTGACCTGTCTCATCAAGTCATTCCGCTCACAACCTTCCCGTGCACGCACTGACATTATTCGTGGTCCTTCCCTCATGTTTCCTCTCCCCATTCGCCATTCTCGCCCTACCCTTCGAATCCGCCCCAATCCTCAGCCTTTTTTTCCGGAGGTTCATCCTAAGAAAGCCTCTTGGGGGCCTCACGACAATTTTTAGGAGCTTGTTGGGGTCTTCTGGAGGCCTCCTGGATTCCTTCCGGGGGCCTCTGGGGGCTTCCCTCGGCCCCCCCCCCCCCTGCTTCCAACCGCGGTCTCCCTGAACGACCCGGTCACGATTTGGAAAGATTGGGGGGCGTCTTGTAGCCATCTTGGGCCGTCATGGGGCTCACGTCGGGCCATCTTGGTGCCCTGTGTGGCCGTCTTGAGGCTCGCCTTGGGCTGCACGGAAGCCCTCTTGGTTAAATTTTGCCCGCCTTAAATTTGGGACGATTCTCTGGCCTCCTGGGCGGTCTCGGACGCCCGGAATACAGACTTCCTCTTCCAACCCCCCTCTTCCCCTTCGGGGAGGGTTTTTTTTATTGTTCCTTATCAACATACACCCGACCGGGGGCACCACGCCAACACTATGCCCACCCGCTCCCCACCATTCCGGACAAAAACAATACAAACCGCACTCTGCCTCCACATTTGGAGCATGCGCGGTCAACCGGATGCGGCCCCCCGCACCATCCCTGTCAAAAATCAATACAAAATACACTTCGGGGCAAAGTCTTGAGTCATGTTCGTGAGGCCCGCAAGAACTTCGTATCGTTTTTGACAAGGACGGCGGGGGTGTCAGCATGTTCCCTGCTGCGCGCAAGGCTGCAATCCATGACAAAAAAAAAAAATACAAAATGCACCTCGCGGCTAAATCTGGATCATGCGCGGCCATCCCGCGATCACCGTCAAGTGGTTTTTGACAGGGACGGCGGGGGTGGTGGCGCGTGGCCTGCTGTGCGCAGGCCCAGCAGACACAATGATGGGCATCGGTTTTCGACAAGGATGGCGGGGGCCGACATGTTTCCCGATTTGTGCTGCCATGTGCGCAGGCGCGCCTGACGCACTCTGCACGTGCCCCGAACGCGGCGCACCTGGCGCGGCTGGAGTGTGCGGCACACCTGGCGCACTCGGAGCACGTGGCGCATCTGGCGCACCAGGCGTGCCTGGCACGCTCGGGTCCCAGGGATGCCTGGCGCGCGTGGCGCCCCTGGCACGCGTGGCGCACCATCTAAAGACGACCGCTGAACATGCTCAGGCTCGGATGATGTGTAGGGAGGACGGGTGGGAGTGAGCAAGACGGCTTGCGGGCGGGTGGATGTCTTGACCCCTCCCCCCTACCCCCTCCCCTGGACCTGGACGGGGCGCCCCGTGTCAGAGGTACTTGTTCGCCCAAGATGGCTCCAAGAGGGCCTCAGAGAGTCCAAGATGACCTCCAAGATGGCTCAAGATAGCCCAAGATGCCTCAAATCGGCTCCCAAGATGCTCTAAGAGGCTCCAAGAACGCTCCAAGACGGCTCCAAGACGCCTCCGAGACCTCTAAAGAGGCCTCCAAGAAGCCGAAGCCAAAATCCTTCCAACACGTAAGGGACATCAATGTGTTTTGCTTTCTCGCCTTTTCGCTTCCGATGGCCATCCGAGGCCTCAAGATGGCTCCAAGATGGCCCAAGAGGGCCCCAGGAGAGATCCAAGAGCCCCAAAACGGCCCCAAGAGCGCCCAAGAGCGCTCCAAGAGCGCCCGACGAACGCCCATGGAAGCGACTTTTGGAGCTCCCCAGGGGGGGGGGAAACTAGAGAACGCCTCTTCTTTGATCGATTTCCTCCAAGATGGCCCCAAGAGCTCTCCTAAGGCTCCCAAGTGCGCCCCAAGATGGCCCCAAGGGGCGCCCAGACGGCCCCAAGAGGCGCCCAAGATGCCTCCAAGAGGCTCCCAAGAGACCCCCAAGAGGCCTCAAGAGGATGCCCGAGGCACCCAAGACGCTTAAAGACGGCCCTGGGCTCGCCAAGATGCTCCTTCTCCTCATCCGCCTCGTCGTCCTCCTCCTCCTCCTCCTCTTCCTCCTCCTCCTCTTTGTCCACTGTCTCTTCCTCCGTCTTCCTCTTCCCCCTCCTCCTTCTCCTCCTCCTCCTCCTCCGCCTCCTTCTCCTTCTCCTTCTCCTGCACCATCCTCCCCCTCTTGGGGTATCGGACGGCTTCCCCCGCCCTTTGTTCTTCTGCATGCTCCCCCACTTCCTTGATCACCTCAACTCCTCTGGGCATCGTTTCTGGATGGGCTGGTGGGGATACTTGTTTGTCGCAACCGCAAACGAAAGCGCAGGCGGCGAATACGGAACGGGCGGGCCGCGCGCGAACCTAATTGCCTGACGCGCCAGCAAGCAGAGGCCAAGGCGGCACCTCAGATCACCGGAAGCGGGAGGGGGTGCGGGCTGCAGCTGCCAGGAACCAGACCCAAGAGCGAGCACAAGCAATCGTCATCAATTTGAAGCGATTATCTGGCCTCCTGGGCGGTCTCGGACGCCCGGAAAACCGAAGAACAAAGCATTCCCAACATCAGACAAAAACATAGAACATCAACTGTGTTTGTATTTAGAATGCCTCTTGGCGGTCTTCAGTCGGTCGTCTTCGGGCGTCTGGTGGGTGTCTAGGGCCTCTGTGGGCTCTCGCGGGGCCTTTCGGCCG